GAGCTTTTATTATGCCACAGTCGAGCGCTTCCGCTGCTTCCGGTCGTGCGTATGTGGGGTAAAGCAGCGCTGTTTCATACTACGAGATACATTTAGTTCTGTTATAATGCTACTCTGTGCGGTCTTCACCGGTCTATTAAAACACACAACATATTAAAGTGTCTTTGCTGTTTCCATGTTTTCTACAAAACTAAACCGGAGATCGAGGGGTTATGACGTCATTAGCAGGCGACACAATGCCACTATAGACACGCTCCGTGTCACTAGTTAAAATTGCTTATTTCTCTGGATTTAAACATTCTTCGAAACATTTGGGATAATGTAAGTACACAAGTCAGCAAAATATATAACACTGTTCTAGTGGTTTTTGGATATTTTAATAAAAAAAACGTACATATTGTGCCTTTAAGAACATTGAGTTAAACTACATTTAATTTTTTTATGGCTTTAATTGTACTTTTAGTTTACTATGATGACCCTGGTTCTTTGACATTAATGGAGAATATATATTTTCCACTTCTTTGTAGATTGTAAGTTAAATGACTCATTTTGAATTTAATGGATTTGTATATGTTTATACGATTCTTTTAAATCCTGATTGAAGATACAATGTCGGAGGTGTTTGTAGATTATAGCACTGTATAGATTATAACTGGTTTTGTCAGAGAAAAATACTGTAAAAATATATAAAATATAAAAAAAATTAAATAATAAAAAGGTAAAATCTACAAAACTTGATATTATTATTGCTTCTTATTTATAAAGGCTGATCAAAAATCATAATTATTTTATTCTACAGTCAAGATTTTGTTTAGGTTTATGCATCTTTACTCTGATGGGGGTTAGAAAAAGATATAGAATCAATGTTACAGAAACGAAATATTCTCCAAATAATATTTTACACGTTTATAATATTGTTTTGTTAATAAGAACGACACATAATAACAACAATAAATATTAATTTATTAATTTTTAATGTTATATTTTAACTCTACTTCTGTAAAAATCTGCTTTATTTCGACTAATTGTACAAAGCCAATGTAATAGAAACAGAATATTCTCCAGGTAATATTTTACACATTTATAATATACAGTGGGTACGGAAAGTATTCAGACCCCCTTCAATTTTTCACTCTTTGTTATATTGCAGCCATTTGCTAAAATCATTTAAGTTCATTTTTTTTCCTCATTAATGTACACACAGCACCCCATATTGACAGAAAAACACAGAATTGTTGACATTTTTGCAGATTTATTAAAAAAGAAAAACTGAAATATCACATGGTCCTAAGTATTCAGACCCTTTGCTGTGACACTCATATATTTAACTCAGGTGCTGTCCATTTCTTCTGATCATCCTTGAGATGGTTCTACACCTTCATTTGAGTCCAGCTGTGTTTGATTATACTTATTGGACTTGATTAGGAAAGCCACACACCTGTTGAAGGGGGTCTGAATACTTTCCGTACCCACTGTATGTATATATATATTTTTTTGTTAATAAGAACAACACACTTATAATATTATAGTAATTTATTTTTAATATTACTGATATAACTCTAATTATAAAAAATAGAATTATATTTTGATTAATTGTAGAGTTAGTGCAATAGAAACGGAATATTCTCCAGGTAATATTTTACAAATTTTTTTTTTTGGTATTAAGAGTATTACAGTAATATAATAATAATTTATTTTTAATATTATATATATAATATAAAATAATATATTTATTGTCACTGTGCAGAGTCAACCGAATATTATTTTCAGTTAATATTTGACACATTTATAATATTTTTAGTTTTTCACTTTATAAAAATGTCTGATAATATATATATATCTGGGGCCTCACAAGGGGACCGTCTTATTTCGGGGTCCGAGGCATCAAGAAGTCTGAAAAAGCCCTGGATTTCATACGTTAGATTTTTAAAGTGTACATTAAAAATAAAGAACAGCACATTTGTGGATTCTTTCTCTAATAGGTAATTAAAAAAAATGCTATTTTTATTTGTCACAGAAACTTGAAGTTAGCAGTTATCATTTATTTTTAAACATTAAGCTCATATATGTTCATGTGTGGAAGAATAATGTGAAAACACCGGCAAAACAAACTATGAAGACTGAAGTAATATCAAGTATCAGTGCGGAACGATCACAGCACACGTGTTTACAGAAATAAGACACTTTATTATATAGATAAATCTCTGTCTCTCAGATATAATTTAATGTGAAATCTCATCAAGGCTGTTCTGGAGTGACTGGCACTAAACTGAGAACTGCATCTGGACACGAGCTCACCTGATTTACAGCGTCACATTCACTGGAACACAACGCTTTCACGTCCAGAGTGGATACAGGCATCCTTCTCGCTCAAAATGCTAATTTCCTCGTTTTAAAAAAAAACCCCAATTAATTTGGTCATGCAAAAAAACCAGGACGGGTCGCACTTAAAACAGGCCATAATGAAGTCAATATTCGCAAAACATATACACCGTACAGCTAATACTGCGCTATTATACAGTAGAAAAGTCTGGTGTAAATCCTGCACAAACACAGGTCTGGTAGAAATGTTCAGAGCACACGGTACAGAACAACATCGGAGTGATTGTGCATTTGAAGATCACATTCTGTAGTGCTGAAGCACGCGACTCATGAAAGTGCAAAGCGTCAGAAAGCGAGTGTTTCTTCAGCCGTGAGTGAGATCATCAGTCAGGCACTGCAGGGCTCTCAGGAGCTGGTTCAGCTCGCTCTGCACGCTTGCAGGCTGTGAAGCGGCGCTCTCCAGCAGCGTCTGGCCCATGTGTGCGTGCAGCGCCTCGGCAAGCTTCGCTGTGGACATCCGGACGTTCCCGCTGTTAGAAGAGGAGCCGAGGAGCGTCCAGAAGAGCGGGAGAACCTTCTGCTCCACCAGCTGCGGTCTGCGCGGGTACAGCTCCGTCACCAGCTCTGAGAAACAACACAAACATCACGCTTTCAGCTCCACACACGCTTGATGAAGTGTAATAGCAGAACGTATCAAGTCTTGTTTTCGTCATCAAAATGAAGTCATTTTAGGATTAAAATATAAAACTATTATCTGCCAATGGGGTAGGGCTGCATGATTTGGGGGAAAAAAAAGAATCAAATTTTCTAAATCTAAATTTCAAATTTTTTCAGGTTAAAATCGTGATTAAAAAAAATAAAAAATAAAAATTATGAATAACTCCAGGATTGTTGTGCTTGTTTGTTGGGCTGCACAATTTGTGTTTAGACATCAAGATGAATAATAATAATTATTAAAGATAAAGTATAAAACAATTATAAGATAAAAAATAAAGTATTTAAGAATTAAAAAAAAAAAATAATAATAATATGTATATTTTAATAATTTTATAATAATGATACTGCAGGAGGCCTATGACTATAAATTAGTGGTCGACCGATATGTGTTTTTCAAGG